GTTAACACAGAAAACACAAGACCACACAGGCCTGAATCATTAAATGTGGCATCCCTTTTCAAAGGTGCACATGCCACCTTCAAAAGGAATGGGAAACTGAGTATTTTCACCCACTTACTAGGTGCTCATTGTGTGAGATCTCACCTGGTCCACCTAGTAATCCCATCAGGAAGCTAGGAGTGGTCCCATTTTAAAGATGAGGAAGCTGAAACCTGGAAAGGTCACCCATCTTCCCTCAGGTTGCTCATCAGGACTTCACATCTGACCCAAGGGCCCCAGGGACACCAGGTGATCTCCTGTTTATGAGTACAGTTGACCCTTGAACAACAGGGGCTAGAGGTGCTGACCCCTTCTACAGTCAACAGTCTGTGTAACTTTTGACCCCCCAAAAATCTTTACTAATAGCCTGTTGACCAGAAGCCTTACTGATAACATGAACAGTCAATTAACACCTGTTTTGTATGTTATATGTATTATGTACTATATTCTTACAATAAAGTAAGCTAGAGTTAAGAGTTCTTTTTAGTTGTTGCAAATCTCCAAAAAATTTCCAATGTATTTATTGAAACACACTGCAGATAAGTGGACCCATGCAGTTCAAAGCCACATTACTTAAAAGTCAACTGCAGGGCTGAAGTGAGGGTTAACATATAGTGAGGCCATGTATACAGCCCCCCTAGAATAAGAACTGCACAAATAGATGCCCAATAAATAGCAATTATAAATGTTTAAATTTCACAAGTTGTTTCCTATGAAAAAACCCCACCTTGTATCATTGAACATTAACTTCTATTTCCACTACTTCAGTTTAAAAAAAAGTAATGAGAATGCTAGAACTCAAATAAACCAAGAGACCATATGCCCTAACCTGACCTTATTTTTTATCTTTGCCAAATAACTTTAGGTTGCAACCTATATGTTTTGAATATTATATTGTTTAGACTCTGGGTACTGTTAGAATCCCTTGGAGAATATTGACCACTGTTTTGTTTTGTTTTAGCAGTCAGTCAGGTTCAGACTGCTAGTTCTGCCTTGTCTCCCAGAAGCCATGATTCTAAAGGCAGTTCTGAAGTTCAAAGCAATGACAGGTGGAGAGACCCGGCCACAGTCCCTCAGACCAGTGGAGCCAGACTGGCTGCCAGGCCAGGGGCACGTCGTGCTCTTTCTAAGACACACGCCTTCTCTTTCACCTTCACCTCTTGGGCTTTCACTTCCCTCTAGGACATAATGGTTAGGCAGAAAGCACTCCAGCCAAGCCGATGCATGATCTGGTCTTGTGATGGTTCGCTGTCTGATGTCTGACCTCTGGAATGTATGCTGTTGGTCAGAGTGAAGCAATGGGGAGAGCTTCTGTCCTCCATTCCCGATCGGGGAGTGACTGCACCAAGAGAGGCTGACACATTTAATGCTTCTTAGAAGTCTCTTCATCAGGTAACATGAAGACAAGAAGCAACCAAGCAGCAACCCAGCACTTTTCTTTTTCCTCCTGATGGGGGAGCTTTAAGAATAATTGGGAGGATCTGTGTATTTTCAGAAAATCTGCTTCCAGTTTTTCCCACTCAGCTAGTATCTGGTATCTAAAATTCAAAATTGTAGCCCAAATAATTCTCTAATATTTCTTGTTGTTTCTTTGCTTGTTTGTGGATAAAACAATGGACATAACCAGATTTCTTGGGTTTGATTCTGGCTCCCCATTTTGCTAGCTTTTGCTCCCTCTTTTCCTCATCTATAAAATGAAGAAATCGCAATCCATCCTCAATAGGGTTTGTTTGAGGATTAGAAGAGTCAGTGCATGTGAAGTGCCTAGAATAGTGTCATTTTTCTTACTGTTCAAAGATTTTGTTCCCTTGGATTTAAAGCAGCCAGAGATAATAGAAAACAGAGAGTAGTAATTTATAAAACCTGTGGATAATCAGGTTTTTTTTTTTTTTCTGAGCCAGCCTGTATTTTGAAAGATTTTCTGTTCCTTTTGTTTCTTCAAATCATTTTTCCTTCTTGCCTCATGAGCAGAACCTGTTTTTCCTATCAGAGAGAACCAGCTGGGCACTAGGTCCCTGTCATTGGGACTTTTATTCTATTCTTTATGTGTATTAAAGATTTGGGGGACAGAGAGTAGGAGGAAAGTACTGAGAAAGAACATAGAGACCAGACTTTCTTATTTCTAAATTATGTCCTTTAAAAAACGTATTATAAAAAAAATCTAACACTGGTCATTTTTTTCAGTCTGGGTTTTAAGAGAATGGGTGCTTACCAGTGGGTCCTAGGTTCCAACCCTCCTTACAGACTTACACAGCCCCACTTATTCCTAAGGTAGAGTTTATGGTGCAAAGGCCGGGGTCACTTCCCTGAAGGCACAGATGCATCACATGGGGGACCCACCCAGCCCCCTGGTGCTGCCCTTTCTGCTGTTATCCCCCAGCAACAGCACGGAACGTACTGGAGGTGACTGGTGTTACCACTCTGGCCAAGAGGTCACCAGGTTCACTCTGAAGTAAAAGTTGCATTGGGGTTCAAGGTGAAAATCTTAGGCTGGTCTGCAGTTGTGTTCTGTTGGTTTTATTTATACATGGTTAAGGTTTAACATACATCCATAAAGAGCATAAATCTTAAATGCTCAGCTGGACATATTTTCACATGTGTACACACATGTGGCCACTGCCCAGATCCAGATATGGAACATCTTAATGCCCTCAGAAGTGTCCCCCCTTGGCCTCATTTATCCTAGGTTACTGCCATCCTGACTTCTGTCATCATAGATTTGTTTTGCCTGCTTCTGAACTTAACAAAACTACAAATGAGATGCTAAAGGAGATTCTCTTTTATGTATGGCTTCTTTCACACAGCATTATATCTAGGAGATCATCCAAGTTGTGTCTGGAGCAGCAGTGTGCTCTTTTTCATGGAATGAATCATTCATTGTCCTAATTGCATTGATGAATCTACCCTGTATCCATTCCATTGTGATGGGCCTTTGAGTTGTATCCAGTTTAGGCTGTTGTGAGTAATGTTTCTATCAGCACTCAGGTGCATTCCTAATTAATGATTAACATGGTTTCCCCCCCACTTGATGACCTCATTCTAGCAGAGTAATAGTCACTTAACATCCATGAATGTAGTTTTTGGAACCTTTGGATAGAGAGAAATAAACTGGTGAATATTTATAAAGCACCTTGAACTTGAAGAGATCCTGTGTCTTGAAAAACAGTATAATTGGTTGCTTAAAATAGTCGTGAAGCCCCAAGCAGTTCTTTAGATAGCCCCAAGCCTCAGTTTGCTCATCTCTAAAATGGGCATAACATTACTATTATGGAAAAATAATCGATTTGCTGTAAGAACTAGATGAGACAACGAAATAAAGCACTACTAGCCTAACCTAGCCCTATTGAGCGCAAACTGCTAGTGTTGACTTTTCATCGTAGTGACCATTGAGGTCAGATATGCCATAAAGTGAGTAGCCCATGTTTATTAACACAACTTAACCAGTGTAAACCAAGTGATTTGTTTTAATGCCAGATGAGACTGTTTTATTTTTCTTCTTGCTTTATAATCTCTTTTGTCTCAACCTTAATTTCTGTAGTTGTACAAAGCTCCATATTAAAACAAAGAGATCTGGATAGGCTATGGAGGTGGAGGGACAAAGGAAAGCTTGGCCTGCAGAAGCTGATCATTGTGGGATCGGCATTAACTTTTGGCATCAGTTTTAACTTTGGGCTATGGGAAAACTGCTTCTAGTGTTTGTGCACTAGATTTCTGGTTTGGAGTTCTCTTTGCCTCTGATCTTCTAATAATAGGTGATAATTTGCATTCAATATGATCTGATCCAGTGTCAGGAATTCCACAGGCCAGAGAGATAACTCAGCTGTTTCCAGTCTTATAAAGGAGTGTCTCCATGGGTTTCCAAAACGAATCATATTGAAGTATCATATATGAGAGCTTTGATGAGAATGTGCAAACATTGGAGATTGAAAAGCTGATGTTGAAAAAGTAGAGCTCTTATTATTGTATAAATCATCTTAAATCTGGATCTCCAGATTAAGGGTCCTGCTCATTTTACTGTCAGCCATGAAAGCTACTCCATTGGGAAACCATTCAAAGAGGGGGAAATAACGTCTCCCACACCTAAAGATGTTTCATAACTGTGAACTGAAGTGCAACTCAAAACTTAAATTTTTATTTTGAAATCATCTCAGACATACAGAAAAATTGCAAAAATAGTACAAAGAAATTATATCTGCCCTTCACCCACATTCCCCAAGTGTTAGCCTTTGGCCACATTAATTTCATTCTCTTTCTCTTTTTACACATACACACACACATCCTCTTTCTGTGCCATTGGAGTGTTAGTTGCAGACATTGTGTCTGTTTCCCCCTAAACATTCAGTTTGTATTTCTTAAGACATTCTGTTAACAAAACTACAGTAAAATTAACAAATTAACACTGATTCAGTGTTAACACTGTTATCTAATCTGCAGACTTTATTCAAATCTCATCAAATGTCCCACTGGTGTTCTTTATAGCAAATGAAATAATTAATTTTTTTGGTTCAGAAGCCAATCTAAGAAAATCATTGTGTTTACTTGAATTTATTTCCTCAGAAAATATTTTAAGGATCTTAAACCCTCGCTATTAGAAAAGCCTTCCTTTAAAATAACATATTGGCTTCCCTGTCTGTTGGATGACTCGTAGGAGATAGGTCAAAAGACTTGTCTTCTAGAATATTCACCTGTGCTCATGGGGGAGGGGCATAAAAATAGTCAAAATGAATATATTTAATTGTATTGACTGTGTTCAGGAGAAAGTGTAAGAATTTATTAAGAAGGATTCATTCTTCTTGGCTTTATAAAAACCTGCTGGAGTGTGAGCAGGTAGGTTGGGTGTGAAGTTAGGACTAGTCTGCCTGTGACCAGTGCACTGAGTGGGGGTGTCCGGGGCAGCAACTAGACTCTGTGTCTCTTCTGTCCTCAGACAGTGGTCACAGTAGCTGCACTTTCTTTGGCAGATGTGGTGCTGGAAAAGGCCATGCACAAGTGCATCCTAAAGCCCCTGAAGGGGCACGTGGAGGCCATGCTCAAGGACTTCCACATGGCCGATGGCTCATGGAAACAACTGAGGGAGAACCTGCAGCTTGTGCGGCAGAGGCGCCCACAGGACCTGGGGGTCTCTGCTCCCACCCCGGATTTTGTGGATGTGGAGAAAATCAAAGTCAAATTCATGACCATGCAGAAGATGTATTCACCAGAAAAGAAAGTCATGCTGCTGTTGAGGGTCTGCAAGCTCATTTACACTGTCATGGAGAACAACTCAGGTAAGGACGCCCAAGTGCAGGCCCTTCGCATGGCCCTCCAGGGCCAGCAAGGTGGCCAGTTATAAAGCCAGTGACACGTCAGGCTTTCTGATGCCCAATTTCTCTTCCTTTCAATCCCTCGATTTCAGCAAGCAGTTCACAAAAATGCAGGTGTTACTCTGGCGTCTGGCAAATTAGTCACTTGCAAAAGTTGGTAACACCAAACAGAAGCATGCAGACAAGGGCAGCGAGATTCTTGTATGATACCCTTCATTGAAGATGTAGTTCAGGGTAGTGGGTACAGATTCAGTCTCTGGAGACTGAATTCAAATCCTTGCTCTGCAAGTCCGTGAACAAACTGTAGGACTTTGGCTACCGTCAGCAAGTGCTAGGCTGCAGTTTCTGCACCGGTCACTGGATATGACCCTGACCTTCGTAAGGTGGTAATTAGGTGAGACAGTGCATGCATGGCCACTGCTCTGTTGAAATATTAGCAGTTATCATTACTACATTTGGGCCAGTGAGGGTTTGTCAGTGATCCACAGCATGTGTCATAACCATGGCGCATCCATTGTTGATGGGGTTTCATTACAGCTGCTTCATTGGCTCTTCCTTCTTTGCTATGAGCTGAAGCAATGGAATTTGAATTCACCAAAGAATTACCAGGTTTGAAAGTAAGGCCTTGGTTTCCCCTGTGTTGCTTCTTGCAGATGCAGGAGTAACCGTGATTCATGGGGCAGGGTGAAGCCTGCATTGTTCCAGGTGGGCAGTGAGCCTGTTGTAGTTCTGTGGACCATTATCAATTTGTCCTGTGAGTTGAATAGCTTCACGGAGGAGCAACAGAGAGAAGATGCAGGCTGCATTAATCACTGCTTGAGTAGACAGGAGTGTGTGTGCAGTTTGCACATTGTTAGACAAAGACATTAAAATGTGAGCTCTTGGGCTGGTCATGGCAGTATCTGAACGTCACCTCTGAAAATTATAAGTGTATATCACCTGCTGGAAATAGATTTTCTGTAGTTGATAAAATCATTTATGCAAGTTCCCAAAACAGTTTCTGCTGGGATTATGTACTTCTCAAGCACCGTTTCTCAACCTTAGCACTAATGACATTTAAAAGGGGTCATTCTGTGTTGTGGGGGCTGTCCTCCTTCCTGTAGGAAGTTTATCAGCATCCTGGATGCCGTTTGCAACCCCACACTCCTTTTAGGACAATGAAAAATGTCTCCAGACAATGCCAAATTCTCCCCCAGGGTGGGGGCAAAGGGGCAAAATCACCCCCAGTTGAGAATCACCATTATAGTATTATAAATAGCAGTAAGAACTAAAATATTTTTGCCATATATTAACCATATGTTTCTATTCAACATATACAAAATTCACACATTTAAATCAGTTAATTGTATGCTCATGCTGAATACAGAGCAAAGTTTGTTCCTGGTTTGAGTTTGGTCCTGTCATTATGTTGATGATTAATTTGCACAGAAAGCAATAGGAAACCAAACACAAATCATTAGCATATTAAGTAGATGCTTTGTAAATGTTTTAGAATATTACTTGCTGGAAGTTAAACTGTTTACAAGTACTCTGTTGTATTGCGTAACTTGATGCCCATCATGAAAATAGAAAATATTTCATGTGTTCATTGGCTCATTCTCATTCATTGGCTCAGACATTCATTCTGAAATTGTGAGTTAAGGGTGGCCTTTGAGCAGCAGGGAGGGCCACCAGCTTCATAGGATTCCAGAAACACCCACCTCTGTTTATAAATAGCAGATTTCCGCAGGATGACTCCTCACTATCTAATAAAAGCAGCAAGTAGGATATGAAAGAAAGAAACTTTGGTAAAAATATTCCTGTCTTCCCCTTTCTTCTTTCCCCAGGGAGGATGTATGGAGCTGACGACTTTTTACCAGTGCTGACCTATGTCATAGCTCAGTGCGACATGCTGGAACTGGACACGGAAATAGAGTACATGATGGAACTCTTAGATCCCTCACTGCTACACGGAGAAGGTACCAGGCATTTGAAATTTTGGTTTTGTTTCCATTTCTTTAAATGAGGTAGAATTCACAGAACATAAACTTAACCGGTTTACAGTGAATAATGCAGCGGCATTTAGTACATCCACAATGTTGTGCGATCCACCATCTCTAACTCCAAAATGTTTCGTCATTCCAAAATGAAGTCCTGTACCCATTAAGCAGTTACATGGTGCTTCTCCGGCATCATGTTAACTGTAGTTTACATTTATTTTTTTAGTTTAAAGAATGTGCTGGCTTTTTGCTGATGGCAAAAGGAATACACATTCATCATAGAAAATTTGGTAAAACCAGAAAAACACAGGAAATGTTAACCCTGCCGTGATTATGAAATAACTTTATCAAGATTGGTTAAATTGCAGTAAAAAATGGTGTTCAGCAACATGGATGGAGCTAGAGGGTATTATGCTCACTGAAATAAGCCAGGCAGAGAAAGACAAATACCAAATGATTTCACTCATATGTGGAGTATAAGAACAAAGAAAAACTGAAGGAACAAAACAGCAGCAGAATCACAGAACCCAAGAATGGACTAACAGTTACCAAAGGGAATGGGACTGGGGAGGATGGGAGGGAAGGGTGGGACAAGGGTGGGGAAAAAGAAAGCAGATATTACGATTAGCATGTACAATGTGGGGGGTGGGGCACGGGGAGGGCTGTGCAGCACAGAGAAGACAAGTAGTGATTCTACAACATCTTACTATGCTGATGGACAGTGACTGTAATGGGGTTTGTTGGGGGGACTTGGTGAAGGGGGGACCCTAGTAAACACAATGTTCTTCATGTAATTGTAGATTAATGATAACAAACAAACAAACAAACAAAAAATGGTGTTCAGTAGAATCCATGCTATTTTTAAAAAGAAATGGTTTCTTTGATTCCAAGCGGAAGTTATAAACTTTTGTTAGAGAGCATTTCCACTGCCAGAAGAATATCCTGTTCCATCAGTGAAACAGATGAAGGCCTGGCTTTTGTTTTCATCATTTTTTAAAATTTGTTTTCAAGATGAAAACAGCATGATTTTCTCTTCTGTTTTAAAAAATAGCATCTGCTCATTGTTAAACAAAGAACAGGATGGTGAAACATCCTGGCAGTTTGCTTTCTATTTACCCTGTCAGTTTGGTTTCCTTCTTGGTCTGACCCTTCCGTATCTTAGCAGAAATTCCTTCTCCATACACCTCAGTTAGGTATTTTATCATGGAAATAATTTGGGGCAAAGCACAGCCTTGAAAAGTAGAAATAACTGGGACTCTTAGGTGAGCTTGTCTTTTTAAAGGAGAACCCATCAGGGGCCTGTGCTTTGCAAACTCTGTTCATCCATTTCCTTATGTGGGTAAAGAGCTCATACAGACCTTCAGTGGTGAATTGCTGCACAGATTTTTTTTCTTTTCTCCAGTGAAGTTAGTCCGGGCTTGGACTGAAAAGGTCCACATACTTATAGGATTCCCCAGGGAATGTGTCATACTGGGATTTCCCCTGGAGAGAACTTAAATGCATTGTCGCCCCAGAACATCCTTTAGTCCCTAAATCTCAGTACTTGGCTTTCTTTTCAGAGAGTCTGTCCCCTTCCTGCCCCTCCAGGGATAGTGCTGACTCAGGATTAGTGGTGCTTATCTTTTCATCCTGTCCCCCCACCCAGACAGACATGAATGGGCCTCTTTCATCCTTTGCCCTCTCCCCTGTTTATGCCCCGAATTAGTATTCATAACCCTGGAACCAGACGCTGCACGAGAGCCGCCAGACCCTTTCCTGGAGCTTTCCTTGCCTGCCCTGCCCTGGGATTTAACAGGATGGGGAGAAGCATGTGGTTTTGTCCAGGGATGAGAGAAGCAATACATTATCTCTATGCCATGCTTTCCTTCCTTCTACTGTGTTATTATTACAATTTTATATGCATCTTGGTTTTTTTGTTTTGTTTTAGCTTCAATCATGTTTAATTCTAGTAGTTTTGTCAAAAGTATGTCAAGTTCTTGGGGCTTTTGGGAAAAGTCATACCAGTTTCACTCAGAAAATTACCTTTCTGCTGCTGACTGTGTACTTAGGACAAACATATGCTTACATCTTGTGGTCTGACAATGGAGACAGCCACTTCCTACCACCCTCCCCAGCATTTCCCCGAAGCAAGGCACTGCCCTGGGTGCTGTGATGATGGTAGAGGAGCAGGTGGCTGGCCTTACCCCCAGGAATCACACAGAAGAGGAGAACAAGGACCTAGTGAACATGTGGAGCAGCCAATGAGCTTGTGCTTAGACTAGAGCCTGCCTCCCCTTTACTGCCTCTGCCTTCTTGGCCTCCTTCCTTGGGAGAGCCGGGCAGCCCAGTCAGGCAGGCTACGGTTACCAACCAGGCCTGTACACTAACGAACTGAAGCAATTTAGACCAGGAGGAAGAGGCAGCTGAGTAGAGAGCTCCCTTTACCGTGCAGACCTCTGCGGCTAGCCCAAAGCCCTCTTTGGCTTGCAGGGCAGCAGCCCACATCTCATTCTGCTGTTTAAGCAGGTAGTTTCTTTTACAGAGAAAGCATCGTAGAATCCCTTTGAAGGGTACCAATCTTGTGGAAGGTTATACTTTTGCTGAAATTTAAGCCTTCCTCTAATTGCATCCACATGTTGCAAAGTGTGGTCAATTTTGGGCTTCCAGCATTTTGAGCTTTCTCCTTAATGGCCTGAGCTACTGCATCTAAAATTTGACGTGCACAGGAAACACCTTCCCTCGGAAACTCAGCTGTAACTCCAAGTCCCAGCTCCAATACTTACACCTCCACACAGCCTCTTTGGAATAAAGTCCATGTTAATTGCTCCTGAAATCCCCTGTTTAGCATTTAAATTCCACACTGCTGAGTTTCACACTCAGCCATATGTTGATTTGTTCATGGGACCAATATTTAGTAAAAATCAGCTACTCAGAACTCTATACTAGCATGTGGGGACTGCCATGGGGAACTGAGACCCAGACAGTGGGTCTGTTAAGCTCTTCAAATAACCCTAAATGAAAAGCCTGACATGTG